TTTTCTAAATAAAGAGAGACATCGAATAGCCATGTTCATCAATTGTCTTCAAACACAGTTTGAATTCAAGCTCCTGCAATTATTCCCAGGAATTTCAATGTTGTTTTTCGTCTTGTTGTCAAAGAGCCTGGGCCGTGGCTCTATTACAAGTGAGTGCCAATATCAATTCACAAACATTATAAATAATGCAACATTATCACACTGTTGGGACTTTTATTGTATATATGACTGATTCCTCTTCTGCAACTGTCACTAGTCTAATACTATCCTTACCTTTTTGTGTCATTTTACCCCACTCCCTCTAGCATGTAAGCTCATTGAGCAGGGCCCTCAACCCCTCTGTTCCTGTGTGTCCAACTTGTCTGGTTATAACTACATGTCTGTTCGTCCACCCATTGTAAAGCGCTGCGGAATTTGACGGCGCTCTATAAATATCATAATAATAATAAAATATCATAATAATAATATCACTGTATGAACAAGTCATAGATTGTTGAGTTTGATTTATTATAACACCAGTGATCTGAAAACCGAACGCTGATCTGGGCTGCCTAATGCTGAACCTGCGCAGAAAATTACATTTTCCACCAGAATACACTATGCCTTGGTTACAGATGTTATCAACTTCTACCATTGCAAGCGGTGCTGTGAGTGTGCCTGCAAGGTGATACCTAAATCACCCGTCACTCCCTTTTTTTTATTTGAATTTATTGGTAAAACATACGTAAAAAGTAACGTTTATTTTTAAAATTAGAAATAATTCCTTAGTGTTGGGATACTGAGACAATAGTTCACAATTAAAAAAAAAATTTAAAAAAATTAGTAGTGCTCATAGTAATAATGATATTTAAATAATCACTTAAATATCATTATTACTATTAATGCTACTAGTTTTGATTGCAAACTATTATCTCAGTATCCCAACACTAGGGAATTATTTTAAATTTTAGAAATAAAAGTTACGTTTTACTTATGTTTCACCACTATCTTCTATCTATTTAAAACCCCTTAATCTTGAGTGGTGATACATCCTATCAGTCAATTAGTGACAGACAAAAAATACCTTCTTTCTTTAACCCTCCCAATCTCTCACATTTCTTATCATATGTGCGTTTTGACTTTTTAATCCCCCCTCTCTTGTCCACCTCCCACTCTCTCCTCTCCAGATCTCAGTGCATGCGCATACACTCTAAACCTGGAGATGAGCACAAAAAAATATTTTTGATGAGATCCACAGAGAGGGAAGTAGTGATGTGTCGTGACTATGGACGGGATTTTAACGGTTTTACTTTTTCATTCCAAAAATGGGGATGGATAAGTTACTACTGGCCAATAGAGCATTATAAAATAACATACATTTATAATAAAAGAAATAACCCTTTAATGAAAACAAAAACAAAAATATTGATTGGACCGAAAAGCTTTAAAAAAATAGTTCGCAAAATAACAGAGTTACAGATACGAAAACAGTGAAACAAAGAACATTCCTGAATATGTGACAGACAACCCCCCCCCCCCCGCGACATATTGTATATATTTATATATATATATTGCCCAATGTATATTGTATATAGAGCTTGGTTACCATGGCAATGCCCAAACCATATCACCCTCACTTTGCAACCAGGTTGCCTCTTTGGACACACACACAAATACACACCCACATTTATTATGGGATTCATATTCAACTGTAGGTTATAACCTGTGTGTGTCGCCTTGTGTGTCTGTGACAAGACCAAACATTCAAGGGTATGTAAATTGTTTATCAAGGCCATTTGGGTAATTTCTGTTATCATTATGATTTAAAAAGGAGCCAAACAACTATGTGATAATAAATGGCTTCATATAATCACTATCATTCAACAAAATTTATTTTTTTGCACGAACAGTCATATTTTCAAAATCAATGCCAACATTTCTGCCACGATATACAAACTTTTGAGCACAACTGTATATACACTGATGCACACAAACACATTATATACCCAATGATACATGAGTACACACACACAAATACACTGATGAATATAGACACTCAGACAGATACAGGCAACAAAGAAACAAGGTGTTGAAGCCGCAGGCAGTTTTAATGAAACAAAAAATTAACAGCAGCATTTCGATCTGCTAAGGGGTCTTTTGCAAGCTAACACCACAAAGCAAACATGAGTGTATATTTAGCAAACAGTGTGAAAAAGGTCAATCACTAATTCACTGAAGTGAATATCATTAAAATCGATAATTAACACAAAGCATACAAATTACACAAAATCTCTATAAATACAATAGTCCATGACTTACCTCTGTGTGTCAAAAGAGGGAGAGACAAGATAATATTAAAATCCAGTAAAATGAAGCAAAAAAATTAATAAAAATAAGAATACAAAAGAACCTTTCTCGAGGCACCAGAGGGTCACTTCCGGTTAAGTGGAACGTAAGAAAGCATTTCCCGTTCTTTGGAACGCATAAGGGATGCCCATACATTAGAACGGCGCACGTGCAATCTACATGATTAAACCTTTTTGCAGATTGTGCCTGCGCCGGGATTACTGCGTGGAATTTGTGACAGAACCATCTGTCTGTGGATTACGTTTATATGGTGCTCATTCGTCTGTTTGTTCATTAAAACATTGCGGTTAACCGCAGACACTTCCCCTTGTTAATGGTGGGCTGGGTGGTCATCATTCGTATGAAAGAACACGAGGCGGTGGCCATCTTGGACATACGAACACCCAGCGGTGTTCGTTGGCGATTCTGTGGAACTAAAAACGGCTATTATTTTCATACGAACACCGCTGAAACCACCGACCTCCCTTCCTCTGTTTCATCTCTTCATACAAACGATGGCTGTTCGGCCCATTTTCATACGAACACAGCCACCCTCAGATAGCCGTCCCATGGAGCCCATTCGGATAACGAAAGGACTATGTGAAAGATTTTGGCTCCATGGCTATTGAACTATGTGCATAGGATCTGAGCGCTATTCGGTAGTTTTGTGTGCTCAGATCCCAGCTATCTGGGGATATTCTGTTGGAGAATTGTGAAGTTATATATTTTTGTGTATTTGTTACATTGTATAAAATGGAGCTTTGCCTCTATTCTCGGAGATAATTGAGTTACTACCCAATTATCTCCAGGATACAGGGGAGGGTCCTGTATGTCAGGAAACTGACAGGGATCCAATACGCAGAGTGCGCACAGAAGGAGGTACGTATACCGGACCTTAGAATGGCTGGACTAACGTAAGGACAAAGCAAGAATAGTCAAAAGGTAAGCCGAGGTCAAGGGAGCCGGAGGACAGGTAAGCGAGATACAAGCCGAGTCAAAGGAGAGGAGAGGACAACAGGACAAAAGACAAGCAAGGGTCAAAACCAGAAACACTAGATAAAGAACGCGCTGAGTGACTAGCAAGCTAGAACCACGACAGGGCAATGAGCAGTAGTAAAGGTTTCCTTTAAATACCCTGTACCTAAATAGAGACCACGCCCCCAAAAGGTCCGGAATAGCGGTTCCCGGCACTTTATGCAAATGCCGACGTCATGACGTCGACGCTAGCCGTCGCGTCATAAAAGGGGGAGGAGCTAGCGCGGCCGGCGCGAAAACGGCCGAAATATGCCGAAATGCTAGGGGAAGGGAGCCCCTAAGCAGAGAGGATGTCCTCCCTGGATACATCACCAACAGGTACCCTGACAGTACCCCCCCTTCTAGAAACGCCCACCGGGCGGATGGGACCTGGCTTAGAAGGAAAACGAACGTGGAAGGCCCGAAGAAGACGAGGAGCATGCACGTCTATACCAGGAACCCAAGACCTCTCTTCTGGACCATAACCTTTCCAGTCTATGAGGTATTGCAGCTTCCCCCTAGAAATACGAGAATCAAGGATGGACTTGATGATATATTCCTCCTGACCATCCACACGGACCGAGGATGGAGGAGTAGAGCGGGAGGAAAATCTGTTACAAACAAGAGGTTTCAATAACGACACATGAAAAGAGTTAGGGATGCGTAGAGTAGGAGGTAGATCCAGCAAATAAGAAACCGGGTTGATCCTCCTCAGTACCCTGTAAGGACCAATGTAACGAGGAGCAAACTTCAAGGAAGGAACTTTCAGGCGAATGTGTCTGGTACACAACCAGACCCTATCCCCCGGAGAAAAAATAGGAGCAGGACGTCTACGCCTATCAGCATGTGACTTAAACACCGCGGAACTACGTTCAAGAATTTGTCGAGTCTGATCCCACAACTTTCTCAGGTTGGCTATATGAATATCAACCGACGGTATACCCTGGGAAGGAGACACCGACGGAAGAACAGTAGGGTTAAAGCCATAGTTCAAGAAAAAGGGGCTATTACGAGTGGAACCACAAACAAGGTTGTTGTGAGCAAACTCCGCCCAAGGAATCAGACCGACCCAGTCATCCTGGTGTTCAGAAA